ACACACACACACACACACATACACACACACACACACACACGTATCAATCAATCAATCAATCAATCAATCAATCTATCAGCCAGTCAATCAATCATTCAACCAATCAATCAATCAATCAATCAATCAATCAATTAACCAATCAATCAATCAATCAATAATTCAATCAATCAATCGATCAATCAATCAATCAATCAATCAATCAATCAGTCAATCAATCAATCAATCATTTCAACCGATCGATCAATCATTCATTCATAATGGGTCGTTGCCTGACTGATTGAATGAGCGATATTCGGATTTTTAGGTTGGCAATATGGACGGACAAAGTGATCGATTGACTGCGTGATGAATTGGGATGTTTGATTCATTGTTTCAGATATTGGTAGAGTTATTCAATGCTGGTATGCTTGCTTAACTTTCTGGTTCGTTTATTGATTTATTTGTTCATTGCCTGTTCCTGATGCACACACATCTTTGGCTATCGACGTTGTGCAGACACTGACAATCCAAATGTCTGCGTCAGGCGGAGACGTTGTCTCCCCTCATTTGTCGCCTTGTGTGCCATCTCCACAGACTACACCCTGTGGTGGTCAAAGTGTCAATCGATCTCCATGTGCTGCGCAGGGGTTGTTGGGTGGCGCACAGTGGTGCTGGGGGAGGTGCGGTTGGGGAAAAGGCGCCGTGCTGACATTTCGCCTTCGACAGGCGGCATCGATGGGCCGGGGATGACACACCGTTCACCTTTCCCGGGTTTGTTGGGGGCATCTCCTCCTGGTGTGCCCGCCGTTCGTAATGTTGTCATGCATGGAGGTGTGCATGCTGCTCCGTTGTTGCCGTCCCCGCTCCTGCCCAGACGGTTGGACTACACGGCCACGATTCCTCTCGCACCTGTTTGGACACATGCGGTAGCCCCCACATGTCCTACTAGATGCGCTCCTGTTCTTGCACATCGCAGCGACGCATGCCCTGCGCAGCCATCCTGCTCAACAGTCGGCAGCGCAGCGGCCAGTCCGGTCTCCGTGCCGCCCCAGTCTGCCTCGGATGCTCATGACCCGACACCTCCACATGATGGTGAAGATAAAGGTGTTGCAGTCGGCGGCACGCCGTCTTCGGCCTCCGGCAAGATAGTGCGAGTCAGTGTCAGGGATGGGTGTCGCAGGCGGTTGTACGCACTGTGCAATGCTATGGCCGGTGTGGGTGACCACCGCGGACCAGTCAGCGACGTTGTGGACCGGCTACTTCACTGGTCGTTGCCTGCCATACGAGCGGAGTTTGGTGTCGGCGTGGCTGCTGCGATCTCCTCAACGTTGCCATCCCGAGTTTGCAGACCCGATTTTCGGCTGCATTATGTCCCGGGCGATTCAGGTGCCGATGGTGCTGACGGGGGTGACGAGGGTTCATGGAGCGGTGCGTTCGGGGGTTCGCAGGACGGATCGCAGAGCTCTTTCCCGCCCTCGTGTCGTGCATCGCAACGTAGCAAGAGAGGGCGCGGTCGACCCCGCAGTGCAGGTCGCTCCTCATCGGCGCATTCACGACCGCAGACGTGGTCGGACTATTGGGAAGATGTCGACCAGTGTGGTCCCGGTCCTGAACGCGAGTTTGTTGAGGAGGATATGACACTATGGACTGGATCGAAAGCGCCGGATGTTGTGTTCATTGAACTAGTCAAGCTGCTTCAGTTGTTGGCCTTGTTTCATTTGTATTGCCCTTGGCACAGTGGTGCGTGTCGTGTGCACGTGGAGTCGATCTCCTATCCTGCGCTGTTGTGTCGGCTAATTCTTGTGTGCGGTCGCAAATGCAAATGGACGTGGCACACGGCAATTGTGCCCACCAATGTGTATCGGTCTCGATTGCAGGAGCAGTTGTATCATGCGACGGTGACCACAGGACTGCCCTACACACTTATCGACACCTTCTGTGTCGCATTGGGGTTGTGCTCGGTGCACAAGCCCACGTTTTACAAGTTCATGCGCACAGAGTCGGGGGAGTCATTGGGATGGAATGATAAGGTCGTACGGCAAGCCCTGAGATGCTGCAAGCTTGCCATTGATACTGTGATGCGCCGTGTCGAGCTTGTTACATTGATGGTGGACGGTCGCTACGACTCCGCTAGAGGCGCGCAACATTGCACAGTCACCGCCATTGAGTACGAGACTCGGCTTGTTGTCGGTGTGCACACTCTCCGTCCGAAGACCGAAGGCAAGGCGTCGAATGCGCTTAAGGTGCCAGCCGTCGTGCGACTGCTGCGAGGGCTGATGGATCACGGTTTGAAGATTTGGTGCGTCGTATCAGATGATTGTGCTTCCCTGGGACCGAAGTTACGAGCTATGAACATCGAGTGGCAGAAGGATTGCCACCACAAAATAAAAAATATTCGCAAGCATTTCTGGAGTATGCTGCAGCTCAAGGAAGCGAAGAAAGTCAGTAACCCGCACGAGTGCGTGTCGGAGTCGCAGTTCATGCAGTTCATGAAGAAAGAGTTGGTGGAGGCCTTGCGTGCACGTTTTGGACCCGGTGTCCTCACGTCCCAGGAAGACAGGTTGAAGAAATCGGACTTCGTCAGTGTTGTTATGCAGAAAATGTACCCCTATGGGTCAAGGGCAAACGACCAACGTTTGACTTTTGATCCTGACGACGTGACAGAGTTCCATGCGCACGAGGTTGGGATGTGGTTCCTCCGCGCTTGTCAGCTGTGCAAGGAGGAGGGTGGAGACGCTGACAGTTTGCACCACGACATCATGCTGATCGTCGATCATTGGGCTGGTGATCATTCGAGGTGTGTTGGTGGTAGGGAGGTCCTGTGCGAGAAGGCCGGTGGCCCTGCACGATTGCCTTTGTGTTCTTGCTCTGACAGGGTGTACGAGCTCATTTTGCATTGTCGTGCGCATCGGTCCCGCACGGGGACCCTCCCGGCCTCGTCACGCAGGATTATGCAGGACTTTGTCGCAGAGCGTTTTAGCCGTTCCGGCCGAGTGCGCCAGCCGTACCTCTCGCGAGCCCCTACGACAGGACAGGGTTACGCAAGGCACCACTTACCTCCATCTACGGGAGCTGTCACCATCCCTTAGGTGGGCGTATCCCCGCCGAGCTATGGAACCACATGCGAAAGTTTTTCGTATGCAATTACAGAGGTGGCCCAGCCGAGGGTGTTTCTCGTTCGCTGTAGTATAGGGGGTTACGCGCGGTCGAACGCCCGAAAATTGAACCCGCACGCGAATCTACGTACTGGGGGGCTGAGGTCCCAAACGCGATTCGGCGTCGGCCGACTAGGACGCATCACACACATTACGCGTACACCACAACACTCACATCTACCCACACATAACACATGGAAGTACACAAAACAGACATTATGAACGACGCCACAACACCACAATACGCCTAGTCCCTTCAGTATCTGACCCATAATTTTGTGCCGTGAGACTCAGATAGGTATCGCGTGCTGGACTTTCGTATAAGAGTCGTGCGCACGTATGACCTCCTCATATCGACCAGCCATGCGGGCATTCGCAAGCATTTGCGCTGATGGGGTACTATGAGGTACTCGTAGCCTCGTGGCCTTTGATAATCTCGAGGGTCGCGTTCAACACTCAAGTGTCGGCTGACAGGCGCTTTGAGGGGTAATCTCTTGACGCCAGACAACCGCCATGCGCGGTTGAAGACCACACCCTCTTCTGCACCCTGTGCAGAGGGGTTGAGTAGACAGCTTCAAGGCTGTCGTGGTAGTCGAAATCAAGGGGTTTTATTTTGATGGCTACCACGGACTACAACGTCCAACCATGAAGACCTTAAGGAGGAAACAACTGCAGATAATCTGATAGTTGTTCCAAAAGGGAGGGGTAGGCCAACGCGAAAGATGCGTGCGGATGGTGCCCAAAATCAGACCCATAGGCAACCCGATGTTCGAAGCGTTGGAGGCTCGTACGCGGACTCTCATAGGTCGACTAGGGCTGATATCTTGTCCACGCGTCGTTTCGCGCTACCGAAACCCTGGTCTACTGGCCATAACGCGCTTTCGCCTTTGTCGTTGGTCCCATAACTTTCGAGCAAGGAGATCGGTAAGTGCTGCGTACGCGGGTTAATAAAAAACCGCGCGGATGCAAGACCTACGAATACCAACCAGCAATGCAGATTTGCGTAAGCAGTCGTAATGACGACGCTTTATGTGGTGCTCATACACGAGTGGCCTCATTTGAGTCATGGGGTCGCTCTCGATGCTCAGGCGTTGGCTGAAGCGCACCCTTAGGGGGTAAAACTGTAGCAAGCGCAAAATCGGCCTGAGGGTCTTACGATCTTCTGCACCCTGAGGTGTCCCAAAGGGTGCGGGGTAAGGTGGTCCCTAGGGCAGGAAGGAATTCGGAGCGGTGTTTAGTTTTCTGGCGCATCATCAGCGGCACGCTAATCCTTCCGCCCGGAACTTTATCATTCCACCAAAACAATTTAAACGAGAAAAAAAGGAAAAGGATTACTTGGCGTTGGCAGGGGAAAATACGAACGCCCGCTGGACCGAGTTGTTGGGGGGCAGCCCCTCCTCCTTGCGGCGCTTTTGTTTCCCCGGGGCAGCAAGTAAACCAACGTCCTGGACGAGGACCTTGAACTCCAGGCCCGGGACTAACGTCTGATCAGATAAAATCGTTGAGTAGGGAAAAACGTAAACGTGCGGTCGCATAGCCCTATAAGGGTTACTCGAGCGTACGCTTATTCTGACTATTATATTATCAGGATGGGAAAGAACAATCTCACTCAAACAAAAAGTTGTGGGGTAGTTCACTCTCACGACAGTTGTGTGGTTTGCCCATCTGAATCCAAGCATAATCACTCAACAAGACTCAATCGAGATTCTTTCATACATACCTGCAATCATATACACAACATTCAAACACTATCACACACACTAAAGGGGTCAACTTTCCAACTTTTTGCACCTCACACCCTGCCTTATGCACACAAGCCCAACCATTTCCCCATCAATCCTCAACAAAGGTACTCAGTCTTTCAGAAATGGCCATTTATAAAGAAACTGGGTGAAAACCCAAAGAAACACACAAATCCTGGCAAGGGCCAAGGCCTTAGGTTGAGAGGCAGGAGAAATAGGAAAGTTGAGTCGTAAACCGACGAATCGGCAACCGACCTGTTATCAGTGATAACAGAAGTGTACACCTTTTTTAGGAATAGCCTGACCAGATCAAGCCTTCAAGCGAAATACAGAAACCTGCATCACAGTACACAGGCCAAAGGAGAGGACTACTTATGTTTCTGCCAGAGGAGAATGCTCCCCGAGTCACGGCCTAGATCCTCTACTAACCTTAGGGTCAACTCTCCTTGCTAGTACTAGGTCACTAAGTATCTCCTCTAATCAGGATAGGCCTGCCAAGTAGTCCTTAACTAAAAAATATTCTAACTCCCTTAATTCTACAAAATTTCGGCAGCGCTTCCCGTAGGAAAACTGCCTTTTCAAAATTTCTATAAGCCCAAAAAATGACTAAACTCTTTTCAGATTTGTAGAAATTTCGGCAGCGCTTCCCGTAGGAACAGGAGGCTGTCAAGATTTATACAGAGTCGAAAAGACAGAAAGGACAAAGCGACTATACTTGGGACTAACTTCTGACACCCTGTTGAGGACTCAGAATCAATGATAGCCCGCACGACCTCTAGATGAGAGTGTGGCTAGCCCTGATCCTAACTCCTAGCAGGGTCAGCCCTATCTTCATCCCAAGTTTTCCCTCCCATCATCCATCTTATCTACCTATGGCTCCAGCACTTGGCAAGCGTCTAAAGCAACTAGCCTATCGAAACAGACGCCCCGGAGTGAGAGCCCACAATTATGTATAAACAAAGATCTCTCACAATCCCACATAAGTTTGGCCCAAGTAGTTCGTTAGATCACTCAGTTCTTTTCCTCTTTTATGTCCCCCTTACTTATGACATATGGTCAGACAAGGCCCTAACCTAAGGGTATGCCTGACCTGCCTAGGCAAAACAAGTACAGTACGCACAACTAGGTTGCCCTAACCTAAGGGTGTGTCTGGTTTCTGCTCAACTGACGACATGAAGCATAAGGGTAGACTGCCCTAACCTAGGGGTGTTCCTAGCCAGCTTTAAACAAAGTTACATATGGCATAGGGTTAAACTGCCCCAACCTAGGGGTGTGCTTAACCTGCCTAGACAACCACAAACGACAAATGGTTGGACCGCCCTAACCTAACGGTACGTCCAACCCACAGAACATCAACGACAAGGGCATATCACTAGGCCGCCCCAACCTAAGGGTACGCCTAGTTAGCCTATACTATTTAAGTTACATAAGGCATTTGCGACCAGACCGCCCTAACCTAAGGGAACGTCTGGTCTGCCTGAACAGGTACAAACGACGTATGACTAAGCCGCCCTAACCTAAGGGTACGCTTAGCCTCCGTAACAATAATTTTTAAACAATCATGAATACTTGCACAAACTCTATGATTTTCTTTCTTCTTAGGCAGATAATCAAACCTACCCAGCCTAGGGAGACATCCAACTCTGCCTTTTGTTTAGAAGGGAAAATAAAAGAAGATTTATACTAACTCTCTGTCCCTTTGTTATCACGAGCATATGACTGAGCCGCCCTAACCTAAGGGTACGTTCAGCCTGTCCGAGTTACCTTCATTATACTCTTCATTCATTTCTCTTCTCTTTTTGTTCTACCTGACTTAATGACTGGCTTTCCCAACCTAGGGTGTCCGGTCTGTCAGAAGGTATAAGTTCAATAATATATACCAAATTCTATACTCTGGTTATCCATTTGGTTCATAGTTTATGACTGAGCCGCCCTAACCTAAGGGTACGCTCAGCCTTATGTCTTTGGCCCCCTCAGAAGAAACACACAGGACTGGGGTCAGGCAACCTAGAATGCCCCAGTTCTAATTCAAGGACCCACAAAAGAAACATCAGGAAGCCAAGCTTCCCAACCTAGGGCGTCCGGTTCCCTGTTCAGAAACCCTCAAAGAAACGGCGACTGAGCCATCCAACCTAGGGTAGGCCCAATCCTAAAAAGGTCATTCAGACAGCCCAGCAAACAAAAATAAACATAGCGCTGAGTCCACACCAACCTAGGGGAACTCAGCCTTGGGTTGACCCGGTCAAGCATGCAAAACACCTTCCTCCCACCTTTCCCCCAGCTCAACTTAGTGTGAATTCACTCAAAGGATCTGCACTCTCATATATTGTTGATTTAACTTTCAAGATGCATGTCCTGACAGACATAACAAAAGTAAGAAGTAATAACCTCACATAATTGTGTTCAAGTAGCCCAAGGATAAAGGTTAGTGGAAGGGATCACACAGGTTAACGAAGATATACCTGAAGTTCTCTGCCTCCAGAACCCCGCCTCGGCTCCGGCAGAGCTCCCGCAATCGGTGGGGCAACCTCCCACAAAGGCCTTGGCGCGGTCCTACGGGCTGCAATCCCGCCTGCCGCCTTCCTCTCGTAACCAAAAAACTAGACTGAGATTGAGAAAGGCAGAAAAAGAAAGGTCAGACTCTCTGATCCAAGAGAGGTGCACTCAGACTCGCAGGAGAGGGCCTTGGAATCTTCAGCGCTTGAGAGCCCCGCAATGATGGCGAGCAACGCGCTGTGAAGGCGATCAAGTCACAGCCCAAAGTGCAGAATCAACAGTCCCCTGACTGTTCTCCAAGCAGTAGCAGTAACCCCCTTGTGAAGAAGAATACGAATGACGCATAGCAATGGTGCACAGTATGACTGCACTGCAGCAATTTAGCAAGGGCACACCAATGCACAACCCGCGTGTTGCGGTAGTCTCCTGTTGAAATACAGCAGTTAACACAGTCCCCTTGTAGTCTTGAGTGAGCTTGGCAAAACGATAGTACAGTCTGATCCCAGCAGCTCCAGCATCAGGATACACCCAAACTCGTGTCCTAGCAGGGTTGCCGCCGCACGAAGTCCCACAGCCTGTCGACGATAGCAGCCACCTCGCTGGCGCTCAGTCTGAACGTGACAGTCATGACCTGCAGGAAGTGCTGCAGCAGGACGCGTGAAGCAAGCAAAAGCACCACCTTTGCGACAACAACCCCAGTAAGCAGAAGCCTGTCGGGATGCAACAGACACAGGGAGCCCAGCGATGCACGGTTTCGAGGCTACCACAGCG